GTGTTTGTTGTGGGGGAGGAAGGGAAAAGGAGAATGTTTGCCGCTTTGAGACTCCTTCGGGTAGTGATAAAGCGGGATATCAAATCCAAACTACTAATACTACTACTACAAATCACAACCCGTGCATGCGCAGACGCGCCACTGCAGGTTGCGCTCTTTTCATGTAGCGAATGGGCCTCCGGAACGGATCCCGTTTGCAACCAGAGGTAACACTGTAAATATTATTGAGCTTAATGGGTCTTGCTCTCCAGTGCAGGGCTGGGAAACCTCTGGCCCTCCAGATGTCGTTAAACTACAACTCCCATCAACCCTAGCAGCATTAACGAGGCGGATAGCCAACAGGTAAAGCTGGCCCCTGGAACCTGCACTGTGAGGAGCTGGGGTTTTAAAGAATATAGCCTTCTTCCACCACCCTCCTTTCATTCACATAACATTTCTAAACTGAAGTGTGCCAATTTCAGCTTGAAATCATGATCTGAGGTTGCCTTCTTATCACTTGGACGTGGGGCTTTCCCGCCCGGCCTGAGATTCCTAACCGCAAGCCCGCGAACCTTTGCCACAAATCTGCCGCTGATTCAACCACCTGGCAGAATACCAGCGCCTCCCTCCCCCTAACCTAGTTGTGACAGCTCTGGAAGGCTCAGCTCCTGTCTAGATTTCCCAGGCTCCGCTCCTCCTTGTGTGTACGTGTGTCTGTGTGCGTGGGGAATCGCTAAGAGGAGAATCTGTGTTCCTAGTTCTTCTTCGCCGTTTGAGAGCCGGATGAGAAAACAGCCGCGAGAAAACAGGGTCAGCACCAGACCACCCAAACAGCTTAGCTGTCAAATGAGGGGGAATATGGGAGAGACGAAGGAACAACTTAGCAACATTTGGAAGGTCTAGACAAGCCTGTTATTGTTGGCTTTGCAAGCAGGCTATTAGTTGGGAGAAAATTTGCCGTAGGTTCCAAGGATCTGCTTCCATCAACAATGGGAAAAGAAACAGAAACGCCCCGTTTCGAAAGATTTAGGGGGCAGATGGTCGGGGGCGAAAGGAGGAAAGGGTTTGCAGACTCAGTACAGAACGCTATATTTTCAAAATATCGATCCGAAAAGACCACCAGGGAGTTGTGGTCTCCTATCTATTTTAAAACTTGAAAACACAACAGGACCACCTGTGAGTTTGGTGGTCCTTCCCCAAGGACTTAGGCTCAAACGTGGCTTATGTGAGGATGGGAGACCCCTGCAGTCCAGAGGGCACCAAGTGATCACTGAACAAAAGCCTCAGCATTCTGCGGTCACGGATTAAAAACCTAGGATTAAGATAAGAAACTGCAGTCGTCACAGTCTTGGCTCTTTGTGGCTGCTAAGAGCAAACAATGACTGCTAACACGTCCTGTTTGTACAAATGCTGCCTTCACTTTTTACTGCAACAGCAAACAGGCAGCCAGGTGGCTTCAAGTCTCAGCTTCCTTGGTGGAATCTATGTACATATAAAAAAAACCGCTGTGAAGATCCCTTAAAAAAAAAAAAAAGTTTGGAAAAACACATTGAATTTTGCATAGCTCACTGTAGCCATCTAGTGTCATATTTGTATACTGCACGTCACAATACATTTAAAATGTTTTATTTGCAGCTGTGTAGCCGAATCCCTTCTCTGTGCAGATGTGTGGTAGTGTTTGACACAACAAAGGACATATACACCATATGTTCACATTCCCCCTTGCCTGCAAAAAATTGTGGAAACTGTAGTTCCCCCCCCTCACAGGACTACAATTCCCGGTACCCTTAACAAACTACAGTTCCCAGGTTTCTCTGGAGGGGGGGTGGGTGCTTTAAATGTTTAGCTTTGGCCTAGCATGTGGTAGGGTGGGACGCGGGAGGCGATGTGGTTTAAACCGCTGCGCCGCTTGGACTTGACAATCGGAAGGTCGGCGGTTCGAGGCCCCATGACGGGGTGAGCTCCCGTTGTTCGGTCCCAGCTTCTGCCAACCTAGCAGTTCAAAAGCATGCAGTGCAAGTAGATAAATAGGTACCGCTCCGGCGGAAAGGTAAACGGTATTTCCGTGTGCTGCTCTGGTTTTGCCAGAAGCAGCTTAGTCATGCTGGCCACATGGCCCGGAAAAACTGTCTGCGGAAGCGGACAAACGCCGGCTCCCTCGGCATGTAAAGCCGCAACCCCAGAGTCGTTCACGACTGGACTTAACTGTCAGGGGTACCCTTATCTTTACCTAGCATGTGGTATACATTATACACATTCCTCCAGGGAGCTGAGAGATATGATATGATATGATATTCTTTATTGTCATTGTCCCATACAGAACAACGAAATTGAAAAATCTACATAAGACATTCAAAACCCAACACGCCTGCTATCCCAGCTCTCCCAACCTGGTTAGCCCCCTAAAAACTCTGGTACACCATTTTTAAATACAATATACTCCCATACAGAGAGGCGCCATTTTGGGATTTGTACGTGTGGAGAGACATCTTTTTCTAGAGCAGGTGCATGAACACATGGAGGGCCAAGCAGAGAGGCTCGGAGGGCCACATTCAGCTTATGGGCCTGAGATTCCCCAGGCTTGCACTACAGTATAGGGACTGCCATCTGTTGCCTCTGCCCGTCACAATGGCAAACACATGTCACTAGTAATAACGATAAATGTAACGGTGGAAAACAGCACAAGTGGGCAATCGAAAGGAAGAATATCATTACTGGGCCCACACACTGTGCAGATAAAAAACCAACCAACCCAGAAATCCCTCCTCTCTCTCTCTCTCTCTCTCTCTCTCTCTCTCGTAATGAAATACTTGGGCAGCTGTTTTTCCTGGACCTTACAAGCGTTGTGTTCTCCGATATGGCTAAAAGGATATTTGAGTTCTAAAACAGGGATTTCCCTCCCCTGTTCCCCAGGCTAGCTTCCCCTATCACTTATCGCAGCAATAAAACCATAACCAGAGGGGTTTGCAATCCGTTGCCACGGCAACCGCCCTGCGGTCCAAAACAGAGCAGGAATGAGGGAAGGCCAGAGTGGGCCGCGTTCCTTGCGTCCCACTCGCTCCTGGCTGGGGTTTCTGGTTTCTCGTACACAGGGGGCAGGGAGCAGCGGGAAAGCAGCTGCATCAACACTTTGTGCCTTCGGTGTGGCGTGCGAATCGCCTTCGGAGCCGAATTGCACAAGGTTGATCCCCTGCAAACACACCCCGTTCCACCTTCCTCCTCTATTCGGGAGAGGAGGAATCTCAGCAGCTTCAGGGATCCAGCCCACCGACTAACTTCTGCATTTGGTGGTGGGCCTGCCCTTTGCGCCTGTTGGCTTTGTCCATGGAGCTTTTATGGCGCTGGAGGAGACTCTTGAGAGTCCCATGGACTGCAAGAAGATCAAACCTATCCATTCTTAATAGAAATCAGCCCTGAGTGCTCACTGGAAGGACAGATCCTGAAGCTGAGGCTCCAAGACTTTGGCCACCTCATGAGAAGAGAAGACTCCCTGGAAAAGACCGTGATGCTGGGAAAGATGGAGGGCACAAGGAGAAGGGGACGACAGAGGACGAGATGGTGGGACAGTGTTCTCGCAGCTACCAGCATGAGTTTGACCAAACTGCGGGAGGCAGTGGAAGACAGGAGTGCCTGGCGTGCTCTGGTCCATGGGGTCACCAAGAGTCGGACATGACTAAACGAATAAACAACAACAACAACTGCCCTGTGTGAACAAGCGGACCCACAGCTGAGAGCCAGCCGCCCGCCAATCATCCCAGTCATTTAATCACAGAATTGTAGAGTCTGAAGGGACCCATCTGGTCCAGCCCTCTGCAATGCAGGAATACGCAGCTGTCCCATACGGGGATCAAACCTGCAACCTTGGCATTATCATAGGAATCTCATGGGTAACTATGGTCAAGAGGATGCTGAATTGGATGGGGCATTATATACCAGGGATCGGCAAAGCTTACCAGGCATGGGCCGGATCACTCCCGCGAAGATCCTCTGTGGGCCGGGCCAGTGCAGCGCAACGCCAGAAATCACTTCTGTGTATGACCAGACCCTGAAAATTGCGCCTGTGCAGAAGTGTCTGGGAATGCGCAGAAGCGATTTCGGGCACCACGGACATGCACAGGCGTGATTTCCAGGGTCTGGGCATGTGCAGAAGCAATTTCTGGAGCCGCAGAAGAGAGTCCCCGCACCGTGTTGGTTTAGCGCCACGCTACGCTCATTTAGCGCAGTGCGCGGGGACTTGCCAAGTGAGCGGCTCAGTTCAGGGGTGGCTTGTGGGCTGGTTAAACGGGCCACAGGTTGGGGACCCTGTTATATACAGATGAAACTGATCATCCCATCCTGATTTAAGTTTATAACCTTGGTTGGAGCAAGCCGTGGGAAATCCGGCTAGATGGTGGGTTTCTTTAAATTTTCTTGTTTGATTAGTTTATTATCTTGAATATGGAAACAGAGTCTGTTAACCTGGATAATTAGTAGTGATGCTGCTATTTAAAGAGCCACCCACGTAGCAGTCAAAAGTAAACATCAGCATTCTGCTCAAAACATCTGTATGTTATCACTCTGGCATAGCATGCAAAAAAAAAAAGACTGTGGGAGTAAAATTAATTCAACTTTAATTAATATTTAGGATTTAGGTCTTTGTTGATTTGCTCCTATACATGGTGAACGAATGCCCAGGGTTCCTGCCCCTTTTACTTGTCGGTTACACATAGGAGGAATGCTGACAACTGAGGCTTGCAAACAAACAACTCCAAAACAACAGCCAGGTGAGAGACAGAAAGGTGAGACAGCCAGGTGAGACATTCAACACAGAAAAGGTGACACCAGTACAGACTCTGAAGGAACTCATCTATAGAAGCTAACATTTGAAACTGATAATGGCTACTTATAATAGCATATTGCTGCTGAGAAGGGTGGTTTTTTTAAATGACACAGTATCTAAATCCTGTTAAATAAAATACCAATTCCCTAGTATTAAAGATGGCAAAGTTCACAACTCCACTCCCCACAAACCAGGCAAACCATCAACAGTTCAGTCAGCAGAGCATGAGCCTCTTAATCTCATGGTCGTGGGTTTGAGCCCCGCACTGGCAAAGGATTCCTGCGTTGCAGGGGGCTGGACTAGATGACCCTTGTGGTCCCTTCTAACTCTACCATTCTATCACTCTACCAGCACATGCAAATGCACAAAATGGGAAAAAATATGGACAAAAAAAGCAGGTAACACGCCACACACCCCATGCCACAAAAAAGCAAGCAACCCCTCAACTAAGAAAGACGGGGTTCTCTGCGGGCCCTAAGGTTGTTGCCTGATGGAACCCACCATCTTTTATTTTTATTTTTAAATAATTTTTATTGAATGATTTTATGTTACAAAAAACATTACAACCATACTACCACAAAATATAATTGACAAATAAAAATTACATACGTCAATATTTTGTTTGTTATCTGTTATTTACCGTCTTATTTCCTCCCAAATAATCCATACAAAACACACACCCACACAAAAACAAAGAATAATGAAAAATAATGAAAATAAATATTTTCCCCCTTTTATCTTACAAAATCTTTTCTTCAATTTTGACTTCCTGTCAAATCCCTTCGCATATGTTTTATCTTACAACTGAATGTACACAATACAATAAACCTTTCTATATCAATTTCCCAATACATTCAGAAAACGTAATAAATCCTTAATTGTTGTCCACCATGGAACCCACAATCTTTTAAAGTGTCACAATCTGGGGCTGACATCTATTGTGATTAAAGTCATGGGCATCTAGCTGCAAATGCAAACTCTGCCTTTTGGTTCTCTCGCTTGATTGATGGCCCATGTACCACACAGAAGTGTTGGCAGAACTTAAAATGTCCGCCATTGTGCTCTGCCACCAGGAGGAAACCAAGGTTGGAAAAAGTAAGGGAGTCTTACCCATGGTCATATCTTCATCAGGTCTGTATCCCACGAGTCGAGGGCACTTGTGGCGTAGAGGCCTTCAGGTCCAAGGGCTGCTCCTGCGACAGGAAGAATGAAGATTATTAGCTAGTGAACCTTGTAGACGGACATGGAAGAGTCAAACGTGGTCGCATCGCCTGTACCAAAAAAGCATCTCATCGTGACCTTTATGTGACTGAAAACCACAGCATTTTGCCTCCATCCTCCCCACGTGCTGTATCTTCCTGTCACCCCTTTGGAGGCAGAACAACATATGTCACTACAGTCTGTTAATTCAGACACAACACCAAACCATGGTTATTGCAAAGTCACTACAAACCATGGTTTCCCATTCTCAATGGCTGGGCAGGCACAAACCATGGTTTGTCAGGTCAGACGTCACGCCAAACCGTTGTAATACTTCCTTGTCTGAATTGGGCCCACGGTAGTGTCCTGCCTTAAATCACTGAAGGAGCAGCTGTTTTCAGCAATCAGTTGAACTATTTCTAGGGTTGCCATATGTCCTCCTTTTCCAGGACATGTCCTCCTTTTCATGGGTATGTACCGTATTTTTCGCCCTATAGGACGCACCGTCCCATAAGGTGCACCTAGTTTTTTGGGGGAGAAATAAAGGGGAAAAAATTATTCCCCCCCCAGGCGCGGGGCTGGGGCGGGGGAAGCCCGAGCTTCCCCCGACCCCAGCCTCCAAACAGGCAGCTCTCTGCAAGCAGCGGGAGCCCAGCGCTGGGCTCCCGCTGCTTGCGGAGAGGTGTGCGAAGCCTGCATTCGCCCCATAGGACGCACACACATTTCCCCTTCATTTTTGGAGGGGAAAAAGTGCGTCCTATACGGCGAAAAATACGGTAAAATGAGAGTCGCCATAGCGATCCGTAGCTAGAAGCAGAAGTCAGCAAATGTGTCCTCTTCTTGCTCTTCGAAATACAGTGGACGCTCGGGTTGCGAACGTGATCAGTGCGGGAAGCACATTCACAACCCACAGCATTCGCAACCCGTAGTCTGCGCACTCACGGGCCGCGATTTGGCACTTTTGTGCATGCACACCGCCGAAACCCAGAAGTAACCCGTTCTGGTACTTCCAGGTTCGGCGCAGTGCGCAACCCAAAATTGCGCAACCCGAAGCGTCTGTAACCCGAGGTATGACTGTACGGCAACCCCAATTTCCCTAGGTGCCAGACAAGTGCTGCTTCTGTGTGCTGAGGCCAATGCTACAGCAACCAACGCTTTAGCGGCACCTAGTGGCAGAACACAAACATTGCAACACCAACAAAACACCTGCAAATTTCTACCTAGAAAGGAAGCTCCTTTAACATAAAAGCCCCAGGTATCAACTTGCAGATAACCAACCACAGTAAGATATGTACACTAGTAAACTCACCCTGAACCCTCCCTCTCTGCATTTTCTTCTTAGACCTCATAATGAAAACTGTAAACTGTTCACAAATAGGCATGACAACCACAGACAACACAGAAATCACTTCAAGGTGCAATCTAAAAATAATGTTGTAAACACCCGAGACATCTTCAGACTCTAAAGCAAGTACAAGGATATTTATTCAAACCTATTTTGAGATATATGGGCAGGAAGAAGAGATAGATGCATCAAGCCAATAATCTGAAATGGACATCTGAAGCTAAACATGTTGTTCCTTTCGCTCGCTGCTACTTCCTATCTGAGAAACCACATGGCTCTGTTTGGGAACCGAAACCCAGCTATGCCGCCACACATTCTGTAACTTTAAGCAAGAGGCAGAATGACGTATACGGCTTTAAAACAAACCCTGACCGAAAGGGTGACAGAATTCATCAAGGCTGGAGACAAAGACTTTTTAAGTTTCAGTCCTGTCCCTGATAACACCACATGAAAAAATCCCCTCAAACACTGACGGAAATGGAATTTGGAAACAATCTACGGGAGATTCAAACTGTGCATCTATGGGAAAGATACAAACGGGGACTGCAACAAAATGTTGCAGGATGGAGCGCTTCTGTTCAGGGTCCCAAACAACCAGCTTTGTCTTCTTCTAGAACACTCCATTCTGTTCTGCCTCCCCTCTCCAGATCCTCAGCATTTGGCGGTCACTGAGCATTTTCTTTTTTCTTTTTCTTAAAATTTTTATTCATTTTATAACACAAATAAAAAACACAGACAGGAAAGACAAACAATACAAACCAATTCTTGTCATATCCTTATTTTCCTAAACATTGTTAAGTGGGCTTCCCCAAGTCCCACCTATTTGATTTTCATTTTACTTCCTCTTTAGCAGTTTACATATATCATAATTTCTAACCATCTTTTTCTTTTCTCCACACTGACTTTGACCATAAAAAACTTCACATTTTATCACTTATAAAATACACTATCTTCTACTTCTAACCTTACCGCCTATATCCACTTCCAAAGCTATTCTAAGATTTAAATATTAACATATATTTTTTTCAAATATTCCTTAAACTTCTTCCAGTCTTCTTCCACCATCTCTTCTCTCTGGTCTCGGAGTCTCCTGGTCAGTTTGTCAAGTTCCATATAGTCCATCATCTTTATCTGCCATTCTTCGATAGTTGGTAAATCTTGTTTCTTCCAATTCTTCGCTAGAAATATTCTCACAGCTGTTGTGACATACAGGAAAAAAGTAACATCCTTTTTGGGGATTTCACCCCGCACTATACCAAATAAAAAGGCTTTTGGTTTTTTAATAAATGTGTTTTTCAACACTTTTTTCAATTCATTACAAATCCTTTCCCAGAAGTCGTTTACCTTGGGGCACGTCCACCACATGTGGTAAAAGGTTCCTTATTTCTCTTTACATTTCCAGCATTTATTATCATGAGTATGATACATTTTTGCTAACTTCACTGGTGTTAAATACCATCTGACACTGAGCATTTTCAATCCTCCTTGTGTCTCTTCCTCTCCAATTAAATTTTTTCCAACTTCTGAAAACCTTGGGGTTTCCCCAGGCCTATTGACACCAACTTCTTGCATGTGGGTGGTGGTGTTTTAGCTATGTAAGGATCCACCTGACAAATCAGTTTGCTATTAGTATGTAAGATCTGCTCTAGGAACTTCTTTCCCATCACCACCGGGGCAAGCCGGGCTGCAGCTGCCAGCTGCAATGTGAGGCTACTCGGGAGGAGAGAGGAAGCACCGGCAAACACATGCCTGTCTCTTGCAAGGGTGAAGCAGTTTCAGTCTAAGATGCTTCACAGCTGAAGCAACAGCTCCCTTGTAGCTCCAAGCTGCTGCACTAAGCCTTCCTGAGCAGGAGAACTGGACACTGGGCTGTGATGTGGCTGTAGGCTCCAGGGAAAACCCCTGTTCTTCAGGCAACTCATTGGCTCACCCTGAATCTGGGTCACAGGAGACTCTGCACAGCCCCCTGGCTGCAATCTTAGTTCCCTCTCCACACCGCAATATCTAGTCTCACTCTGACCCTGCCCGAGAATCCAGCATTGGCATGCACAATAACTTGCGGCATGCAATCTTCTCTGTACAGTGGTACCTCGGGTTAAGTACTTAATTTGTTCTGGAGCTCCGTTCTTAACCTGAAACTGTTCTTAACCTGAAGCACCACTTTAGCTAATGGGGCCTCCTGCTGCTGCTGCGCCGCCGGAGCACGATTTCTGTTCTCATCCTGAAGCAAAGTTCTTAACCTGAGGTACTATTTCTTAAGTACTTAACCTGAGGTACCACTGTACCAGTATGCTTGTTCATTCACACTTAACCATGGTTAATGAGAATGAGGTACTGCCTGATTCATGGCAATATTCCCAAGCACATGTGCAAACATTCATGTCTTAAGAGAAGTCACCGGCTGTTTATCTATAACTGAAGCTCTCTTATAAACTGGCACTAAATAGAAATTACAAAAAGTGCCAATTTGTTTCAATCCGCCGATCTGTTTTTTAAGCAGCTGCAAATACAGGTCAGTGCAAGCTGGAAAAGTCATCCGGATTTAATTCAATTTGCTAACGAAAAGGGGCTTTCCTTAGCTTCCTAAGCAGTGTTGAAGCAATAGACCGAGCCTGGAGTATTTAACAAGCAAAACAGAGAGTCAAACGGAAAAGGAAAAGAAAACTTTTCTTTAAAAAGATTCCACCACACTAACTTTCAGCAAGTTTCCGGGAGGCCTGCCAGCTAAT